GAAAGAAAAGGAAGAGTAGGAAGGAGGGTAAGAAGGAGGAAAGAAAAAGGAAAACAGGAAAGAAGGATGAAAGTATAAAGGGAGAGGAGAGGGGAAAAAGGGAAAGGAAAGGCAGGAGGCAAAGGTGAAAAAAAGTGAGGAAGAGGAAAGGAAGAAATGCAGCATGGAAGGACAAAAGCAAGGAAAGGTAGGAAAGAAAAAGGAACTTGGGTGAGGGGAAGACAAGGGCCAAGAAGGAAAGGCATGAGAAAAAGGGAAGGAAAAGTTTAAAAGCAGGAAAAAGGAGAGGAATAAAAAAGAGAAAAGGAAAGTCAGGAAAGGAGAAAGGCTGAGAAAGGAAGAAGAAGCAAATGAGAAGAGGTAGGAAGGAAGGAAAAGCAAATGCGAGAAGGGAAGGCAGAGGGCTGTCACCCACCGTGTGCTCTTGCTGCAGGAGAGCAAGGGCTATGACTTCGAGTCGGAGACGGACACAGAGAGCATCGCCAAACTGGTCAAGTACATGTACGACAACCGGGACAGCGACGACATCAGCTTCACCACGCTGGTGGAGAGGGTGATCCAGCAGCTGGTAATGCTGGGAGCTGGGGGGGACGCGGGGACAGACAGGGCACACACAGGCACGCACACACGGTGATCGCTGTGCCGGTGCCGCAGGGTGTTCTGCTGCACGCGCTCAGGAGCGGTTTTCTTTCCTACCTCTGGCAGGTCATCTCGGCCACACATACATTTTTTCTCTAATATTAGCCACCACTCACGTGACAAATGTCTAAATTCGGGGGCGCAGCAGCTTCTCAAGGCAGCCAGGCCTGGTGGGAGGGTGGGAGCTGGTGGGGGGCAGAGTGAACTTGCGTCCCTGCTTCAAACCTGCCTGAAACCTCCTCTTCTCTTTTTCCAGGAGGGTGCCTTTGCCCTTGTGTTCAAAAGTGTCCATTATCCGGGTCAGGCAGTCGGTACCAGGTCAGTATTGCCGTGAGAAAGAACATTCTTGCTGCGCCCTGTACGTGGCTTTTTTTTTTTGTCTCCCCAATTTAGAAGATGATGGAGTAGAGGTTGATCTCACCAGTCTGTATGTGCTGGGGTGGGAGTGGCTGTTGTTCTTTCATCTCCTTTCTCTTATTTTCCATTTATCAGAACAGAAAACTCCCTAAAATATTAGGAAAGTTTCTTAGTGACCACCTCTGTCACAACTGGTCTAGAGCAACCTTTTTTTGTTATTTTTATTTTTTTAGACTTTGATTGTGAGAGATTTGAAAGGAGATGTTTTTTCTCTCTTCCTTCGTGTTTGGCCGAGTCCTCTGTTGGACTTGAAGTCGGGCCAGCACTGGTGTTCAGGTTTTCTGCTCCACTTTTAAATGCCAGCATCAGCCGGGCTGGTTTAACCACACACGGGTTTTGAATTTTGGTTCCGGTACCTGTTAGAGCAGCAGCCAGCACGTCCTTGGTTCAAGCGTCTGTGGGATTGCACTTGCCCTCACAGAGTTTCAGCAAAACTCAAGGCAGGTTCCTCACGTCCTCGCCCTGCGCTAATTCAGAGATTCTTTTGCTCTGTCTTGTGCCCTCCCACGTCTGCAGCGCCAGCAGCTGCTCTGGGGGGAGCTCACTCTTTTCTGTTTCGTCCGGTCGCTGTGCGGGTGAACACCGGTCCTGCTGGGTGTCCAAGTGATGAATCTTTGGGGGCTGTAACTCGGTGTCTTCTCGCAGGCGAGGCAGCCCCCTGCTCATCGGAGTGCGCAGCGAGCACAAGCTCTCCACCGACCACATCCCCATCCTCTACCGGACGGGTAAGTGTCCCCCGGGGGAGCAAGGGACACCAGCGGACAAACAGGGGGGCACAAAGGGCTGCGTGCCCTGGAACACGTCTCACACTTTTTAAGCTTTCGTCTGTAAGTTAAACAGTTATAAAAAAAGAGATTTTGTTGGTTTTAAGCAAGTTTTTAACCAGATGCTATACCGCCACGTACCTCAAGTTAGTCTCTAGTTTTCCAATCAAAACTTTAACGGCCAGGATTGCAAGGAAAATACATGTTATCTACTTTATTCTATTCCACTGTGTTAAGAACAGATCAGTAAAGTTAACAGTACAGGTAAGCTTAGAAGCTTAATTTTATATTTTACGTGTGGCGTGTTGGCATTCATGGGCTTGGTTGTTTCCAAGAACAAAACCAACCACGCTTTTCAGGCTCTAGGCTTTTCACTGTCAGAAACATCCCCCTCACTTTACTCCAACATAATTCTGAAAAAGCAGAACGCTCTTACCCTCACCGATCTGCATTTGTGTCGTCTGGCCGTCTTTCTCTCACGAGTGTGCTTTACCAATGCAGTTGCGCCCTTGAAAACGTGAAGTGGCTGAGAATTATCCTGTAACTTAACCCATGTCAGAGCCTGAGCCCATTCAGGTACCAGGGACTGGACTAGTTCTCTAAGCACTGCAGTGATCAGAAGGACTTACTGCTTCCTCACGGTGCTGCTAACGATACTTGCTGCAGTGTAACGTGAAGAGCCAGTCCCAGTAAGCTTTGTGTTCATTCTTGGATAATTAGCAGTAATCTTTAATGTATAAATGTAACAGCTTTATGGTTTTACCCCACTGATTATCTGAAGTTTGGTTGTGTTTTTGTTTTGTTTTGTTTTTTCCCCAATTGCACTTTCAGCCGTACAATCTATGGATCATTCTTTTGATGGAATATCCATAAAAATGGAGGAAGGTGCCTACCGGAGAAAATCTAATACCTGAAATTGCAGACAAATCCTCCAGTTCCTTAGGAACGGAATAATAAATGATGCAAATTTGCATTGTCTCTTTAATATGTGGCTGTTGCTCTCCGTGTAGTGCAGTGAAACGAGTGGGATACTCAGAATTCCTTGTGATCGGAAACACCCCGAGTGACACACAGGAAAATCCACCCATCAGCCCGCCCACCCCCTTTCAAATATTCTGACCCGAAGCTCAGCGTACGTGCAAAATCGATGACTTAGTGCAGGTTGTGCCATGTGCTGCCTGCACCTCTGAGAGCAGAAGGAAACAGTGAATTATCTTAAAAAAAGCCACAAAACAACAGAGTGAGACCCTGTCAGGAGGCTGCTACTAGCAAGCATTCTCTAAAATTCCCTCTGGAGTTCAGAGGATCTGAATTGCAGCTTCAGGCAGAAGCATTAAGTTACCCGAGGCTGGAACTTAACTTCCCTTTGCTTGTTTATCAAGCTGAACCGTTTTAAATTCACTTCAAGGGCTTAATTTTTTTAAAGGCTCACCCGTCGTATGTGGCGCGATGAACTAAGTTCATACCTGCAACAGGAGAGTGGTTTTCCCTAAGGAAAGGATCTGATCCCCGCCTCGGGCACCGGCAGGTGAAACCCCTGCACTTTTGTCGGAGGAGAAACACGCATTTGTCAAAAGCATCAAGTTCTGCCGTCAGGCTGCCCTCGCTTCCCAGGGGCTTTAAGAACCAAAGTCCCTCAGCTTTCAGAGGCACTAAGGCTGAAAAATTGTCACACCCTTCCGTCACCACCTGTTGAGTACTATCCCTCTTTAATCCTCTGTTATGTCTCCATTTAGGAGGGAAAAATTAAAAGAGTACTTCTGTGTGGCTTCTAAATTCTAGTAAATGGGACGTAGGTGCCGTGGAGCAGCGATCCAGGTTATCCATCGATAAATGGACAAATCCATCAAAACAGAACCGGCACAGCTGGCTGCTCCGACTCACCAGGACGTTCCGCGGTGAGACGCACACGCTGTGTGTGTGTCCCTGCACGGCGACCCCTCCCAGTCGCAGCTCAGCGCAGAATCTATAACACGGGAAAGCAATGCCACATAATAAAGTCAATGCAGGGAAATGTCCTCTTCCAAGAAACAAAAATTTGCATGTTTTGATCAAGTGTGGGTGCTTTGGTGGGAGAACGGCCATTGACGCTATCGCCTTGGCTCTGGGCTCGCTCAGCAACGAATCAGTCTGTCCTGTCTCAGCAATAAAGGAGTTGTTTTCCTCGTTTGCGGACTTAATAACCGGAGGGCTCTAAATTGTTGGCTGAGTGGAACCTTCTTTCTGAGTATCAACATGAAAGCAGTATTTATTTGGTTTTTTTTCTTTGCATTCTCTTGTGCAAAAGTATAAATCTGACCGTCATGAGCTCTGCTTCCATCACTGAATCAGAGCGGGATCCAGTAGGCGAAACACAACATTTAGAGCTTGTGGAATAAATACAGGACAGAGTAACTTCCGTGTCCTTATTCTTCAGCAATAGGCATGTTTTGCTAGATAAGCTGATTAATCCACCCCCACATGTTCCCGTACTGTGCGCAGTGACCGGCAAATCATTTTGTTTGAGGTCAGTGCTGTGCGCTCGGTGTGTTGGTCCTCACCTGCATTCCTGATGTGCTTTGTGACCGAGAAGTATTTTCTGCGGTTAAAGAGGAGATGGAGGAGGATTAGAGAGTATCAGGAAGTGCTGGAGAACTTCAGAACGAAAGGATCCCTAGTGAAACACTGAACTTTTCTAAAGGCTTAGTATGAGTTTTTGAGAGGTTGCCTCTTAATCTTGTGTCCTCCAGGACACCTGGAGGCTTCCCTGGAGATAAGACTGGTGGCGGTTTTCCAGCCGTATGATTTCCGGATCGGAACGAGGTGGTTGTATCTGATAGCTCAAGAACGTCGCCCAATACTTAATTGTGGATTTCCTGATCCGTGCCCGAACGCGTTAGCTCAGCCAGACAAAAACAGGTTTGGGTTCTGTCAGCCGGTGCTCAGTGGAGCAGCGTGGCTGCACGGGTGGCAGCTCTGTAAAGAATTTCTCTGGCGCTGAGAATAATTGACAAAAAAAAAAAGAAAAAAAGGAGCGATTCTGCTCAGTTTCACAAAACCTCAGGAAAGCTAGCGAACCAGGAACGCAAGGATAAACAGGGTGGATCCAACCAGGAAAATGTTGGGAAATGCGACTGCTCATCATGCAGCTTGAATTCCCTTCTCCTAGTGGAGCCCCACCTGGAGCACTGCGTCCAGCTGTGGAACCCCCGACAGAAGGAAGACACGGAGCTGTTGGAGCGAGTCCGGAGGAGGGCGACCAAGATGGTCAGAGGGCTGGAGCACCTCTGCTATGAGGACAGGCTGAGAGAGTTGGGCTTGCTCATCCTGGAGAAGACTCTGGGGAGACCTTATAGCCGCCTCCCAGTGCCTGGAGGGGCTGTGAGAAGGCTGGGGAGGGACTTCTTACAGGGGCTTGTAGTGAAAGGACAAGGGGTAATGGGTGGAAACTGGAAGAGCGTAGGTTTAGGCCAGATCTAAGGAAGAAGTTCTTTACCCTGAGGGTGGTGAGGTTCTGGCACAGCCTGCCCAGGGAGGTTGGGGATGCTCCATCCCTGGAAGCGTCCAAGGCCAGGCTGGACGGAGCCTTGAGCAGCCTGATCCAGTGGGAGGTGTCCCTGCCAGGGCAGGGGGCTGCAACGAGATCTTTGAGGTCCCTTCCAACCCAAACCATTCTAGGATTCTATGAAACTTTCCTTCAAATTTTTACTGTTTTGTTTTTTCCCTCTAAATTCAAAACTCGGCGCTGACATTACACTCGCCAGGCTGAGTTTGAAAGCACGCACAAACCTGGTGAGCAAACCGAGGGAGGGCACGATAACCCGAGCGCTAGCGCGCTGCCCTCTTCTGCCGCCGCCGCTGAAAATAGTGCTTCATGTTGGTACCGTGCCTTGGGAGCTCTGGCGGAGCCTGACGGCGTTCGGGGCGCGTCGCTCCGTGCGGTGCCTGACCCTCGTTTCTTCTAGGCAAGGACAAGAAGGGGAGTTGCAACCTGTCGCGCGTCGACAGCACCACCTGCCTTTTCCCCGTCGAGGAGAAAGCTGTGGAGTACTACTTCGCTTCGGACGCTAGGTAATGTGTCGCGGTGTCTTTTAGCGGCTTTAGAAACGAGCTGAAGCCTTGAACAAGAGGTAGGGAGGCTGTGGTTTCTTTACAAATAAAGTAAATTCTGCGTCTGAGGCCGTTGCTTTAGGAACATTCACTCATGATATACGGCCTGGAAAGAGTCCGAGGAGGATTAGATGAGAGTTTCTGTTAAAGAAACGAGCACTCGCTTTGGCATAGCGGTGGTGTCCTTCTTCGAGCACATCTGTTGCTAAGATTTTCAAGGTGAGTGATAGGAAGCCTGAGTACGGACAGGATGGATGCTAATTACTGAGAGAATTGTGTTGATTCTCCAGGGATCTCTGCACACATGCAATTCTTTAATCAGCAAAGGTGTCTTCTGTTATTCCCAGTGGAGGGAGGAAAAACTAACTTGACAGCAGCCCTACCAGAGCTTTGGGGTTTCCCTGTATCAAGGAAATGAACGCTTGTTCCAGAAATATAAAAACACCGCTGCAGTTGACTTCTGCAGTTTTTCACATCAGAACGTTTTGAAGAGTCTTAGGACACCCTGATGTGTCCTGATTTTCAAGAGCTTTTTCAGTGACTTGCCCAAGGTCAGAACAAAAGCTGCTGAAATCGGGAGCTGCTGTATTTCACGATGATTTTCCTTGTTCAACTAAAAGAGAATACAGACTAAAACGTGGCCACAGAGATTTTCTGGTTTTTTTTGTAATTCCAATATTGACATTCCCCAAGGAAACTGCAGGCAGGGAAGGCATTCGATAGTCCCCAATTCCTGGAGCACTTCTGAGTAGATCTCAGAGTATTTTGACAAGTGTCCCCAGTTTTACAGATGGGGAAGATGAGATGCAGGGAGGGATGATGGCTCATAGATGGGAAAAAAACACGAAAGGAATCTGCACCTGTAGTTGAGTGCCCTGTGTGCTACGGCAGATTCCTGACTTCCACTCCCTAGCTCCTAGCAGATCACATTGCTGCACACGCTGCTTTGTCTGAGGAATTCATTTTTTCTTCTTAAAGCAGGGACTGAAATTAATAACAAGGTAGATGGAAAAAAAAAACCAGTTCTGTTGGTGGTATGGAAACGTACTTTACACTACTCGACTTATTGTAAAAAGAGATTCCACTGAAATGAGTAACTTGGATCAAACGCTGTACGTTGGATTATAAATTACATTTTTCACGAAGAATAACGTCTTACGGCAAACGGTTGTATGCTTTTCTAGCGCTGTCATCGAGCATACCAACAGAGTGATTTTCCTCGAAGACGATGACGTAGCAGCTGTGGTCGATGGGCGCCTTTCCATCCATCGGATCAAACGCAGGGCGGGCGACCACCCCGGCCGCGCCGTCCAGACCCTGCAGATGGAACTTCAGCAAATCATGAAGGGTAAAGTCCTCCAGGTGGCACGGGTTCTCCCTGGAGAATAAGTCAAGTTGAAAAAGACCTCTGGGGGTCGTTAGGTCCAAGCCTTGTGTTAAAAGCAGGCTGAGTAGCTCGTGGTGTTAATGGCCGTGTTTGGAATAGCCTCGAGGGTAGGAATCCTGCTTGAGCACCCATTGCAGTGCTTTGGTGGCATCTAATGGGACGTCCCCTCTCGCTGGTGACGCCTGTGGGGCTGAGGATTTTGCCTCCTGCTTGGAGACATCTGTTTTTCCTGAGATTGATCTCAAGCAGGCTTGCCGTTCTGGATCTGAGCCTTCATGGACACATTCTAGGAGCTGGAATCTGTCTCTCGTGATGAGCTGATGCTTTGGCAGAAGAAGAATTCTCATCTTGATAATCTCTGACTGATACCTGGCCTGTTAGTGACTGGTCCCAGGTTTTCCCTATACACAGGGGAAAAATGTAAATCACTGGGAGGTGATGTAACGTGGTGTCATCTGTTTCTTTCTTTCTTTTATAGGGAACTTCAGCTCATTTATGCAGAAGGAAATTTTCGAACAGCCGGAATCTGTTGTGAATACGATGAGAGGAAGAGTCAACTTTGACGACTACACTGGTAATTGAGATTAGGCCTCCTTTATTTTTGACAGCTCAGTATCTAGTGGTTAATTCATAGAGGAAGAAGTAGGTGATGACGTGGGAGAGTAAAACACGGTGTCAGACGATGTGTATGTCTCACGGCCAGAATTACAGGCGCAGATTAATTTTTGTGGGTTTTTTTGGTTGTTTTTTTAATGCAACATTCTGTGTGTTAGCACCGGTAATCTGGAGAATTTCTGCTCCCTGGCCACCCTGATTTTTCTTTTGGAATCTTGCTTACAGTAAATCTTGGCGGCTTAAAGGATCACATTAAGGAGATTCAGAGGTGTCGCCGTTTAATCCTCATTGCTTGCGGGACAAGTTACCACGCTGGAGTTGCGGTGAGTGGTCGGCCTCCATCTGTCCGTGAGCTGTGGCTGGGCTCGAAGAGCGGGCGCAGCGTCACGTGTGTCGAGAGGTTAAGGGCTGAGTTCACAGTAAGATGGAGCAAGATGGACGAAGACCCCGACTTACCCGTCGGTTACAACGCAATGGTTGTAGGTGAAAACCTTTTCAGACTGCAGCTTGGCAGCCTGTGATGTCGCAGTTCAAATTACCCTCCAGCTTCGCAGCGGAATCCTTTCACTGCTTTCAGAAATGCCGCAGAGCAAGTTCTGTTCTCGCCTTTACGAGGACCAGAAGAGAAGATTTTTGTCCATCTAGTGTAGCTCTGTAAGATAAGGTTATCAGCAATCCATCCACCGGCCAAAGCAAGTTTCTGGCCTGGATAGAGGGAGTGGTTCCTGGGTTCTACAAGTTGCAGTCTGATAGGAGGGACAGCCTGCGTTACATAATAGAGATGTAGTGTTGCATAATAAAGTGAGACTCACCTAAGAACCACCTACATGTGAGGGAGAAGTTGGCCTCAGCAGCTTTTTGGGGTGCCACAAGCGGGGTTAGCTGTGAGTATGTAATTAAAGCGCAATCCAGCACCACTTCTCACGTGGTATTTTTGTGAGTAATGTTTGCCGTCGTGTGGCAACTAGAAGACTTTTGTGTACTGCAGACACTTGTTTTGTTTTGTTTTTTTTTGAAAACACGCTGTATTATATAACTTTCTGACCTCTTTTACCAGACCCGTCAGGTTCTGGAAGAACTGACAGAATTACCTGTTATGGTCGAACTGGCCAGTGACTTCTTGGACAGAAACACCCCTGTCTTCAGAGACGATGTTTGCTTTTTCCTCAGCCAGTCAGGTACGGTCTCGCTTTACCACCCGCTCCACTCCCCCCTTTCCTGTAAGTGTTAGCTCCTGGAGGGAAAAGGCGGCCAAATTCTCATCCGTAGGATCATGCATGAGAGGAGAACTTGGCACACTCGTAGTAGAGATGGGGAAAAAAATAAAGCAGAGCTCCTCCTGTCCGCCTGCGTGCTGGGCCAGAATTGGGTTTAGCTGAGTTTTACATATGGTAGCAGTAGTTCTGTTTCCTTTCTCTGCGAGGAAATACTCCATCAAGCAACAGATTTTAAAAAAAAAATGCTGCTGAGCTCTGGGGAAAGGCAGAGAGTTTGAGTTCTGCTAAATACTGAGCTCTATGGTGCATCAGATCTGCAAAAGAAAAATTATTACACGTAGGTGTCAAAAAGTACAACCACCTTGGGCTGGAATATGAGATAAAAGGCAGTTTAAGTATAAAAAACAAAATTACATGTATCACAGTCAAAATATTTTCAAGGACAACTGCAATACAAAACTGCAATTATTTTTTTTCCGTTTACGTGCATTTACCAGTGTAGTTGTTCAGAACTGATCTTCAGCTTTGATACTAAAACTAGCCAATACTTTTTTTTCCCCCCGGAGGTTAAAATACTCTTTTGGAAGCAATTTTATTTTTCTTTTCATTATCCAGGGGTAATTTTATTTGTTCGGGTTCCCCCTGAGTTTTTGGAATGTTTCTCCTCAGCACCTGCACGGTCCCAACCCGGCAGGAACGTGACCGAGGGCACGCCAGGGGCTGTGCCTTTCCCCTAAGTGCTGGCCAGGACAAGCTACCAAAGATCTTCCTGGAGCCTGAGTTTACCCAAAGTAAATATCAAGCTCAAATAACTCCAGTTCCCCTACCCATAAATCTGCTTTGTTTTTTTGATTCCCACCCTGCACGACTTGCTTTCAGTAGTGCAGAGCCGTGTTTGTGCGTCAGGGGGCTGACGGAGAAGCGAACTGCGGGTGCTTTTGTCCTCTCTGCACCTTACCCATGCAGGGGTGCTCTAGAGAGGACACAAGCAAAAGGGTGGAACACACAGGAGCTTCTCTTTCTAGTCACCTCTGTTTTCTGCTTCCTTTTAGAGTTTTTTGACTCCATGCGTTATGTGAAGGCTGAGGCAAGCCGGCTTATGTTTGCGTAGGGCAAACGATTTTGCAAAGGGATAATTAGTTTGGGACAGAACCTCTTTGATAACAGATCCTGCGAGCTCTGGGAGTGCCGTCGGGCAGCGGTTCCACGCCCTGGGTGGCAGCGAGGCGGTGGAGGGCTGAGGCTGGCTCTGACTTGGTGCTGCTGCGCGTCTCGGCTGTGTTGTGTCCAGATATCCCCGAGATGCCTTTTCCCCCCCGCCCTGCCCTGCCACAGGGTGATATTTATTAACCCCGAAAAGGAAGGAGGTTTGCACAGCAGAACACTGACTTTTCCTTACACCAAACTACTGTTAGATTTTGTGTTTTCTAGATTTCACTGTCACCGTTTTAGGGTTAATGCGCAGCGAGAGCTGAAACAACTACTGACTCGTTTGGCTCGCAGATACAAACCTCTTTGCTGTCTGGTTTGGCTCGCAGATCCAAACCTCTACAATTCTGTTGGGGAAATCGCGGCGATTTGACGTTTGCGGTGATGGCAGGAACCGATCCTGACCCGCGGCGTTGTCCCTACTTGTCTTTTCAGGTGAGACAGCAGATACTTTGATGGGTCTGCGGTACTGCAAAGAGAGAGGAGCCCTGACCGTCGGGATAACCAACACGGTCGGCAGCTCGATATCGCGAGAGACAGATTGCGGAGTCCACATCAACGCAGGGCCAGAGATTGGGGTTGCCAGTACCAAGGTAAGTCACACCTTTATAGGGCTCATCTAATTTTTGCTATTATTATTCTTACTGTTACTGAAACTCCTCCTGAAGGTGATGGCTGTAGCATGGGCTGCAACAACCGGTTGCTGTTGATGGTTGTGTAGTGAATGGGCACGTGCCCAGCGAGACTCTTCATTTTCTATTTTTTGTATCTTGCAAAAGGCTCATTTTTTTTTCATTTTAAAACAAAATGCTATTAGGAAGCAGTATCAAATATTGAAAACAAAGGCATCCTCGGAGGGAAAAAAATTCCATAAGAGGCAAGAATTCTCTCCTCTTTGCCATCGTGAGGTGCAGACTTGCTTTAAACTAAATTCTAAAGATGAAGAAGAAAGCTAAAAGACAAGATTATGGAAACTCTGACCACATGTAACTGCCCTTTGTGGCACTGCTTCACTAAAGAAAGTGTGATATTAAAACTGTATTTTGGCAAGTGGGGGAATGGTCTTTTACAAAAAAACCCATATTTATGTCCACCAAACAGAATTATTCTGTGGTCGATGCGTTTGGCTGCGTGTGATACAGAATAAAATAACTGGCTTTACTGCATTTAATTTTGATGAAGTATTTCTGCATGGTGAAATCTGCTTTGATTTAGTTATATTTAGAGGCGAGATGATGTCAATCTGTTACATAAATTCAGCCAAAAACCACATTTGAGTTTAATAGTTCATTGGGGAATTTGATCATGGAAAATTCATGAGTCTCTTACAAGAAGCTTTTGAACGGGTTGTTTGTGCCGGGGTTGTTTTCACGTGGCCGACGTTACAGTTTGGAGGTAGCTGAAGATCCCATTTTCTCTCTGGTGATGTGAAGAGTTACCAAAGTTGAACATGGATGAAATAGGAACTTGAACAGGTTCTGCCCTAAGCTGGTCCAGAACTTCATTTAGAGAACGTGTTATAAATGACTCAGGGAGAGAAGATACTGTAAACGACCCCGGCATCGGGAGCGTGGCTGCTCGGGGCCATTCGCTTCCATAACCTTTACCTGCCTCGAAACAAAGCAGATCGCGCTCCACGTCGAACTCTGCTCCTCAGCATCGCTGCAGCTTGTCTGCATTCCTTCAGAGCCCTTCCAGCCTTCTCCAGTACGGCAGCGTGCGAGTTTGATCGTTGTTTAGGGATGAACCTTAATCTTATTTCTCAGCAACTTCAGCCCCAGGCTGGTACCACAGCCCATTTCGTGACTTCAGTCTTAGAAGGATGTCGGAGGCAAAGCTTTGCCAGAGCTCTCTGACGCCATCCTTCCGGCGTTTTTGTGAATAGAATTGCCTCGAGCCCTAATTTCACTTGCCTGCACTGATTTTTCCCCAGAGGCAGAGACACTGCTCACTAGGGTCTGGTAAACAAATTCAGAGCCTTACCAAGGGGAAGAGTTCAGGGTGTGTTCTCAGGGGAGCGGGAAACCACTTTACCTTTTCAGCTGCCTTTTGTGTTCCTCGAATGCAGTCCAAAAATATTTGAGCTAGCTGTCCAGTCGCGACGGCCGGCTGTTAGAGGTGAGCTCCCGCTGCTCCTCTGCAGCCAACAGGTCTGCCCAGCCTTCAGCATTCCCGGCATTGGCTTTCTGTAAAGACAGGTACGGCCACAAAATCAGACTTAATACTTGCCAGGGAATCTTAGAAGTATTCCATTTTGCTTGTTGTAGCTTAATCCTTTGGAGTACAAGGAGACGGTGCCGCTGCACAGCTCCATTCGAGATTTGCTCAGATGAGATTTCCCCCGTGAATTTCATCTTCACCATCACTACTTAATTGGAACGAAAGCTGCCGTTCGGTACCAGGTTAAGAATAAATTCCAGAGCGAGTCCAAGGATTTTACCACGGCAGGTGATGGCTGTTTGGTCGCTGTCCTAACGCGTGTTCTCTCTTTGTCTCTCCCCGCTGACTAGGCGTACACCAGCCAGTTTGTCTCTCTGGTGATGTTTGCTCTGATGATGTGCGATGACAGAATTTCTATGCAGGAAAGGCGCAAGGAAATCATGCGTGGTCTGAAGGGACTGCCAGGTAGGAAACTGCTGCCTTTAGACCTTGTGAGCGTAAATATGGAAATATAGTAAATACGGAAAGGGTGAGTGTGTGGAGGACAGAGCCAGGCTCTGCTCAGGGATGTCCAACGACAGGACAAGGGATGACAGGTTCAAGCTGGAGCACAGGAGGTTCCACAAAAACACGAGGAGAAACTTGTTGGCTGTGCGGGTGCCGGAGCCCTGGCCCAGGCTGCCCAGAGAGGGTGTGGAGTCTCCTGCTCTGGAGACTTTCCAACCCGCCTGGACACATTCCTGTGGGGCTGCCCTGGGTGACCCTGCTCTGGCAGGGGGTGGCACTGGGGGATCTCCAGAGGTCCCTTCCAAGCCCTGACATGAGCTTCAGCAGCTTTGAAGGACGCACAGCATTGCTAGCAATAACTTCATCAACCATGTTCTGTCAGATGTTTTCAGACGCTAAACTAGACTATTAAAACACCGAGTTCAGTTTTGATGCAGGTCCCCACTGTCTGTGTGTATGAAAGATCAACACTCTGTAGTTTGAGAGGCACAAGCGTGTAAGCACACACAGACTGAATCCTTCTCTTCCCTTCTAGATTTAATTAAAGAAGTGCTGAGTATGGATGATGAGATCCAGAAGCTGGCCACGGAGCTGTACCATCAGAAGTCTGTTCTCATCATGGGACGTGGCTACCATTACGCTACGTGCCTCGAGGGAGCTTTGGTAAGAGTTTTCTTTACTTAAATCTGGTTCAAACACGCTTTGCGATGGACTTCAGATTTCCACGCAGGAAATGCTGCGTGGCTGCGAGTTGCTTTAAAAGCACCTAACAGCTGCGGTCTGTTGGCTCACAGTCATTGAATCCTGGGTCCAGTTTGGGGCTCCCCAGTTCCAGAGAGACGGGGACCTACTGGAGAGAGTCCAAGGGAGAGCTCCGAGGGGGATCAAGGGACTGAACATCTCTGCTGGAAAGAGAGACGGAGAGACCTGGAGCTGTTCAGCCTGGAAAGGAGACGGCTGAGAGGGGATTTATGAGCGTAGAGAAATATCTGAGGGGTGGGGGTCAAGGGGAAGGGGACAATCTCTGCTCAGTGGTGCCCAGCATTAGAACAAGAAATAATGAGTTTAAGTTAGAACATTAGAAGTTACACCTCAATGTGATGGGGTTGCACTGGGTGATCTCTAGAGATCTCTTCCAACCCCCAACATTCTGTGACTCTGGGTTGACTCGCTAGGTCTCACTCTAACACCACTGACACTGCCACAGCAGGTTCCAAGAGTGTATCTTCCGCATTCACACCGGCAATGTTTTACTGTAGCAGAGCGGGCACCCTAATAAAATCACTTTTTGAGCTGTTGGAGTGGCATTTCCAAGAGAGCTCAGCATCCCAAACCAAGCACATACTTTATAAAACCCCAGATTGTGGGGTTTTTTACCTTTGCGGAGATCCTGTTGTTGGAAGTGCTGTCACCCGCCGACCTGCAAATGGGTCCTCTTTGCATTTGCTGCCCAGCTCAAGCCCATTTGGTGTTCGAACCGTGTTGGTGGCCTGCCAGGAGCTCAGCCCAGACACGCTCCTTCCATCGAAGGTAGCAAGCTGGTTCATCCACGTATTGGACCTGAGGAGAGCCAGAACACGTTCTTACAAAGACACAAAGAAAGCAGAATAAGCCACAGAGACACTTAAAAACCTACGAGTTCGCCCAAAGCTTTATGAATATGTTTTCCTCCCCCATCTAGAAAATTAAAGAAATTACCTACATGCACTCCGAAGGGATACTGGCAGGCGAGCTGAAGCACGGCCCTCTTGCGCTTGTGGACAAACTGATGCCCGTAATCATGATCATCATGAGAGACCACACATACGCCAAGTGCCAGAACGCTCTCCAGCAGGTCATTGCGCGGCAAGTAAGTGCCCGAAAAAGTTTACGGTGCATCAGAAATGTTGCTTTTAGTATAAAAGCAGTTTACGGGGCACCCAGACTATTTGCTTTGGCATCACCGCCTCAGACGTGAACTTAGTGGCTCTTCTGGGCGCTTGAGGTGCAGTTTTTGCCGCAGATTGCAGAAGCCTCAGGTGCTTTGCCTTGCCCTTAAACTGTGCTAGAGGGATTTGTCCGAACTGAAGTAAGAAGTTCTCGCCCCTAGTGCTCTGAACAGAAAAGAACCTTCCAGACCCGTTTTTCTCCAACGTTTCCCTTTGTCGCAGGGGCGACCCGTCGTGATCTGTGATAAGGAAGACATCGAGACGATTAAGAACAACAAGCGAACGATCAAAGTTCCCCACTCGGTGGACTGTCTGCAGGGGATCCTGAGCGTGATCCCCCTTCAGCTTCTGGCTTTCCACCTCGCAGTTCTCAGAGGATA